TGACCGACCCCAAATGGATCCGAAAGTCGTCGTGTGGACGTTGAACTACGGTTGTTGCTCTGCTCATTGATCAGTTATCTCTGGTCGGAGATATAATCATATACTCAATCGCTGATGTGTGCGTCTATCATGTGCGCCGTTTGATTCTGTGGTCAATCACAGCTGGTTTGGACTGAGAGTGACTGGGCGGCTCGGTTGACTGTTGTGTGTGACTGATGTGACTGTTGACTGGTCATTGACTGGCCGCCCGGGCGGCCGGCTGCCGCCCGCTGTGGGCGGGGGCGGGGGCGGTATCGTGTACATGTGACGATCAGCATGGCCCTGACCCCAGGGCGTCTGTGAAGTGTCGTGTTTTATATACGCCATGCGTGCGCATGTGTGGCCCGGAGGCCGCCGGAGACCGAATACACCATACTACTGTACTGGACCCGTGTGTGAATAGATCGAACAAAAAAGGCTCCATCAGTTTCCCAAAATTATATTTTTACTTGGATGTCAGAGGGGAAACTGCTGACCAAACAGGGGATGAGAGTGAAAAATTGTCGGTCAGGTAAGGCCAAAAAAAAGCGGAAAATGATCAAAAAATCAATAGTAGAATGCGAAATAGCTATCCACGCAATTGCTCTTGGTGGATGGAATTGGGGTTGGAGAGTTGGTCTTGAAAATTGAAGGTGGGACTGTGGGAGTGGAAAATTATTTTTATTTGGATGTCGTTTCATCAGCTCAAATCGACAAACTGGGACACTTACTCTATGTTCAGAGGGTCATGGGTCAATGAGAAATAATTAGAGCGGTGCAATATTAGATTATCTGAAGGCCTTTCTGTCATGTTTTTCTCCATGTCCTTTATTTATACTAGCTAGCCTTTATTTCTACCTCGGGAGTGAAGCTATGAAATGAAACGGATAATATGTGAAAGCTAAGTTCCGGGGTGATGAATGTGATCAAATCGTTTATTCCTCGTGCTTATCATTTTCTTGAGATAGCGGGCGACAGACTGCTCGGAATGCTTTGCTTCACTCGAAAACATCCCTCTGCTGGTAGGTAGAGGTTATGTTCAATGTGAAGGTACGCATCGATTTGCATTGCTCATCCGAGAAAAACAACTGAGGAACTGACTGACTCAATAGTCCAGCCTGAAACCTGACTGGTCCGTCTCAAGTTGGTTCCAAGGCCCCAAAAAAAGTCCTCCCTATTCCCAAAGCTGGGCTTCAGTCGACCTCCGTTGCTTGTGCTGACCTCTATAATTTACTTGTTTCGAAATAGTCGCGCTAGATGTCAGTAGCGTTCAGCTTTGCTGAAAATTGTCCTTGGCAGGGTTATCACGTGACATGACAGATAGGGTGACGTATTTGTGACGGGTTGAGTGTCTTGTGGATTCGTCTTGTTTTTGCGGCTCTCTCTATCGCCTGGATAAAAATAGGCCCCGCCCATCCCAATCAGCTGCTGCATGACGAGTTGATGACGACAACCACTACTTACCAGCAACCAATCTAGGGATAGCGTACGTGACAGTAATGGTGCAGCGGTTGCAAAATATTACATTGTTATTCAAACGGTTTTTGCTTTTAGGGCCTTGTTAGATGAGGATGAGGTTAGATTAGATGAGGTGTTGATGAAGGCAGGTATTTTTTTTAAATATTTTTTTGACAATTTTTTGCCCTTGTTTTACTTAAGCTGAACCCGGGACCACCTGAAGTCTAAACCTTATTTTATATAACATGTCAATGCTGATGCTGTCTTGAAATGTGAAATTTAGACAATGGTTATAGGAATAATGAATAGCAATTTCACCAACAACATTTTAATCTCTAGGAAGTGCAATTAAAATTAAAATCACTGTCTGCCACACTGCTCCATCCTGGTCATGCAACCAACGTTCATGGGTGGTGTTTCACGGCAGAGCACGCACTGCAGTGCTCAGCACTGCAGTGCGCTGCGTGTGTCAGAGCATTGGGTTTCCATGGCAGTGTCAACAAACTTCACTGTGACGCTAAGCTATGACAGCATCCCAGAACGCTAGCACGCTGCGGTACCAGCACCAGCAGCATGCTAGCAGTATTTGAACTCAAACCTCTGTTCTTGGTACGGTTTTTCAGAACCTCTCACTCTGTTCCAAACGCGATTGATCATAAACTAAGAGATCACATGCAACGTCATTTGAGTGATGCTATGGTATGCCGTAGCTACCAGTGCACACAGTGTCTGGATGGTGAAACAGGGCCATTATTAATCACATTTGCTTTGCTTTGTTTCAGCAGAAACCTGTCTGCACATGGGAGGAGCTCAACAAAAGCCCATCAAGTTCATGCATGGCAGTGGATCTCAACAGGAGAAAACCAGAAAGAACATGGATGCTTGTAGATTGCAGTTGTACACTGCTGTTATCACCTGATGTGCGTGGCTGGCATTGCTCCTGGCAAGAACCACCTGCAAGTGATGAGAATGAGATGGTGCCTCAGTCGTTGAGTGTGCTGCAGTGTGAGAGGCGCCCTGATCTCTACTTTGTGATAGGTTTCCATTGGAGGTTCAACTGAGAAGTGAGAACTGACTGTGACCATGCTTGAGCATGCCAGTGGAGCTTTACATGCTTAGGGCAGCTTTTGAACAGATGCTGACCATGGCATGTCCCATCCAGTTATCACGTGCACAGAATGGTGGGGGGAGGGCAACTCTGGGCTCTTGAGTCAGCCCTACTGCACAGGGGGTACAGATGGCCGCTTACGTTTGGTGTGTCCTGCACTGCATTATCAAGCCCAGTCTGCGCCACAGGCAATGGGTCGGGCTGCACTATATTAAAGGCAGACTATCTTGCAAAGGAGGCTGGCATCCTCTCCCATAATGACACACCAATTGGCAATCATCGCTGCGATGATCACGAGGGTGTCCGCTTATCTAACATGGTGAGGTGGAGAGCCAGTTCAAGCTGGCCTGAGGGATGGTTTTACTTCATCTGAGGCCCCCTTTCCCCGCCTGCCAGGTCCGGTCAAACGACCGCTTCACAGTGAACGACTTGCAGTGGATGCCGTCCCACAGCGCAACGAGCTCGCCGACCAGAGGCGGCGGCCAAGAGGCGGCCGCGCTCCCCCAGTCGACGGTCCCGGTGGACGTCGGCGACGCCCACCGCGCGACCATCAGATCGGCTCGCGACAGCGCCGTCGCCGACTGACCGCATGACTGGTATCTGTTCTTGATGTGGGACCGACTGCCACCGCCGGTCGCGGAAGGGCATCGCTCATCGGCCATCGACGTCCGCCAGCTTCGCGTGGGTCACTGTTCGGGCTGCCACCAATACACCGAATCGGATGGAACCCTGTCGGCGAATGCCGGCGGTGCCCCGACATCGACTGCGCGGCGGCCAGTGCATCGCGTGCCGGGAGGAGGCTGGCACCCCCGATCGGTCATTGGTCACAAACCGTGTCCCAGCTCATGACTGCATCCAGCGCAGCTCTGTGAGATGTTCTGCAGCTGCTGCAGTCTGCCGCGTGTGTTAGTGAAAGAAGAATGAACATGAGAAAACCTCAAAACTTTATGCCTATTCGCAATTGACCAGTATTGGAATAAGTTTGGATTTTGAGAATTTGTGTCCCTGTGCTTGTGCCTGTGTGGAAAGGCATGCTTTACGGTGTACCATCTCAATGTCAAATCCCGGCTGCGCTGTGCGGATTTGTGCGGCTGCTGACAGGCCACCTGGGTGCCAACGTATGTGCGAATCCGCGAATACGTTGTGTTTCGTCAGTCAGTATCGTTCTGAAAATATTGACTGCAATAGGCTATATAGCGTATGACGGTTCAGCCCAGCAGTAATAACTGACCATTGATTGGGCGAATTTTGTGTGGTGGTTCGCTAATACATAACCTAAAGAGTGTTTTGCCGGAATCGTTTAGTAGCAGAACTGACCGGAATATAAGTAGAATGCAATGGTTTGAATCGTTAATTTGTTGAAACGATTGTTCTCTGAGACCACTGTGTAACTTTTGACCTGAGAATCACCAATTATAACGACAATGGGGAAGCAGTAGGCTGTACTGTAGAGTGTAGGCAACACTATATAGTTGGCACACATACGGAAGCACACGACTTACGCAGTGGACATCTGCATCATGCATGTTAAGGTTTACTGGGAAGAGTGAGAAATTAGTCAGAATATAACTGACTAAGGAAAATAGGCGATATTTCCTATTGAGCTGGGGCGGAGAGGGGGAGGGGACGTGTGGTCAGCTATGCCAATAATTCATTCTCTTTATGCAGCTGTGTAAAAGGGCGTCCGTTTTTGGGTGAGACCTTCCCCATCGGCCATTTCCAAGTTAAATCGTGGTGGAGAGTCTGGAGACCTCAGCCTCGGTAGTCGGCACCCTGCGCGCTGCGCCACCTTGCGAAACATAAAGCAGCAGTCCTGACATCTACAGGCGTGACTTTTCATGAAAGCGCGGATGTGTTCGCGCTTATGCGAAAAAAATGCTTCCGAGTATGGTTGATAATGAGATTAATTGTTGTCATTTATTTATTAATTCATTGGCAAAAGTACCCTAATAAATCGGTAAAATAGCTTGAACTGTATCGTATTTCCTTGGGAAAAAATGACGAACTCATCCTAAGACATCCAGATTATTGGATGCGTTCGTCAGTTGTAAGTAGTTCAAGTTTTTGGGAAAATTTGCTTGTGGAAAATCATAATATTTCAAAGATATGCCTATTTTTGAATAATTTATGCATTCATCTGCATTGAAAAATGATTGTAAAGCAAAAGTGCAAAAGATAATTGTCAATTTATTTTCTCAAATCACAATTTACGAACGCACAAAACTCCAGCTTTTAATTTAGTGCGTGTGCGAATTGCGGTCAAGAAAAAATATTTAAATTGTCTATATTCCTCTTAAAACAATGAAGGATGAATGAGGAAAACGCTGTTTTGAACAATTGTATATTTATTTTTTCTTAATTAAGCAAAAGTACAAAATTTTCAACTTTTATTACATTTGCTCTCACAAAATCCATCACTTTTTAGCATGACGTCATGTCAGCCAAATTTACTAGCGCCATCTCTGGAGAGCATCTTTCGAAACCTCCAGACGATAGAGAGAGCCGTTTTTGCGGTGGGCGTTATTACAGTTGGAAAATCGCCCAGGCTCAAGATAAAGTCGCCGCTCGAGCAAATGAATTGAGTTGAGACTCGATTTATGAGACATTTTTGGAGAGACGTTTTCGAGTCGTGAAGGTTGCAGTCCTACGACCACGCTTTTTCCGTAAGGTAGGTTGGTGCTTCGATAATATATTAGCTGAAATTGATTTTTATTTGTTGCATCTAGTGCCCATGGTAACGAATGATTGGTATTTCACACCCTGTTTGGTGTAAAATATGATTTTTTATGAAATGGCGCACATGAGACGTATTCGCCAGTTGGAGATGCAAATTTTCGATTCCACATGTCCCTTACACAAAACATAGCCTTGCACAAAACACATTGATTTTGAAACACATTGACTTATCACATCTGATGAAGTTATGTTTTTGATGAAAAATTAGCCATTCAATGCCATGTTTTTATGTGATTGAAATTAAATTGCTGTTGGCCATGTGCCATGCTTGTCATGGTTATTTCCCCTTCAGTTTTTTAGCCCTTGGGTTTTACTGAATAAAACTGCTGAATTTTGGTTTATGAATAAGGTTCATAACTTTTTTTAAGCACTCAATGGCCAAAATGTTTCATTTTTCAGAATACATTGGATGCCCTTCGTCCACACATCCCTGCAGGCCGGCAATGGAGAGCTTCGACGAGGAGGCTAAGCCCTCCCACCTTGCTGGCTATGGGGATGACCCTCTGGCAATGGGTAAGTCAACTGTTAACAACTTCATTGATCCAACTTATATATCATCAAGTGGTTCAGATACCAAAGCTGAGGTGTTCATGATGGGCACCTCAAACTGCTGAGTGTGGGTGTGTGAGGTGTGTGCAGCAGGCGTGGGGGTAGGGGATGGGTAGGCGGCTCTGACGTCACGGCTGCGTGTGGTGGACGGTCCGCTGTGGCCAGTCCCGACCGGCCACAGCGATCGCTGTGTGCGGTGACGGAAGGCTGACGTAGGGACACAATGGGCGGAGCTTGGAGGCTGTGTGCGGTCCGACTGCACACAGGGCCCCTGAACAGCCCTCAGGATGTCTGTAATTGGTTGGAGCCATTGCATAAATTACGTGCCAAAATACAAAAAAAAAATGAATAGGCATGAAATTCTTCCCACTCATATTCCATTACGAACGCTCTCACTTCAATGGAATCTTGGCTGATGTATTAGTCCTCTTCCCTTTTTCCTCTGCCATAAGTACCTAAAAAAAAGTATCTAGCATGTTTCAGTTAAATTTACCAATTATTGGTAGGTAAAGGACAAGGCTCCTCATATTCCTGATATTTCTGTTTCCTGGAATATCAGGATGCAACATAGGCGTAGGAACCGGGGGGGCCAGGGGGGCCACGGCCACCCCACCATTTTGGAGTGGGGGGGCCAGTAATGTGTGTGGCCCCCCACTTTTGAGAGCACTCCAATGTCTGAGATTCGCTCTTTACTTTAAACACGATTCAACCAACTAAACACAAAAAGATGTGCCACGGTGCCGTTTCTGTCACGGATAATCTGTGCTTTGCAGGTAGAATTAACACCGTCTAAAACATGCAGCAGTTTAGCGATTTAGCGCGTAAATTTTCAAATTCAGCGCAGAAGAGACATATCTGATATGTTTATTGCGCCAACCGGTTTCGTTTTGTGGATCTGGTCAAGGCACTAAGATGAAGATCTGGTTTGAGTCAGGTAGAATTTAGAAATGAGATGGATATAAGAAGTTTTTTTGCGAAAAAGGTGGGTGTGTATCTGGTGAATATACATATTGCATGATTAATGCGACCTTGACAGGGGTGGAGAATTATGTAAATCCCAGGGTTGCCTTTTCTGGACGGACCTATGCACCTACCCTACCTACAATTTTCCCAATTTCATTCAAAATTAGCTACAAATGAAAGGTTGCCTTTTGTTCATGGGTACCTTTGGAAATAAGAGTGTGTTTAACCTTCGCCCTGGTGGGGGGGGGGGCCATTTTGGCCCCCCCCCTGTGGTTTTTCAGCGATAACTCAGAAACCACTTGAGTTAGCGCCCTGAAACTTTGTATAGCTGTTTATTCAACATTTTTACATCATGTCCTTTTTTGGGGGGTTCGGGTCAGGTCAGGTCAGGTCACAAGGTCACCAAAACTGACACCACCTCTAAAAAAGTTCAAAGCTCTCTCAAAGGCACAGCTTTTATCCGATCGATGTAAAATTTACAGTACTTGAAGATGTCACCCAGCTCTACAAAATGGCTATCTCGGATTTTTTATAAATGTGACCTAAGGTCAGGTCAGGTCATCGCTGCTCCCCATTATAAGTCAATGGGAGAATCGAAAAGTAGTTGTTTTTCAGCTAAATCGGGCGTGATTGTTCCTATATTTCGTTATTGAAGTGTCTTGGGTCAGCAAATCACAGCCCATGTGAAACCATTTGCTTGTGACCTCGCTGAGGTCACGCTAGGTCATCTCCCTGGTCACCAGAGGTCACCAGCGGTTTTTCTGCACTTACTTGTTATTGAATAGAGATAAAGACTCCGTTCGACGTTTATCGTGTTTGTCTCGTCAATGCGGATCGAATGATATGCAGCATGACCTATTTCGGTAAGGTCATGACCTTGACCTGAGGTCAAATTTTCAAAATGACCTTTCGAGGTCAAACTATATATCATTCGACGCGTCTCGACGAGCCAAGCACGATGGTGCATGAATCGTTTCTCTATTTTCTCGTGAATGCATGCTATAGTTAAAAAACATTTTCAAAGAAATTTGCCAAGTTGACCTTGCATGACCTCTGTAGGCCAAACCGTTGAGCTGAGGTCAAATCTGACGAACCTTGGCGAAAGAGCTTGAAAAGAGCTATCGATTGCTTTTTTCCGCGGCTCTCTAGCTCTTCTAGTTTCCGAGCTACAGCGGAATATGTCCGGCAACACCGAAAACACTGAAATTTGACCTATGATGACCTCTAGCGACCTCAATATTGACCTTAGCGAAAAAATGACCGAAATACTTTCGAACGTACTTGTTATGGGCTTTCGTTTGCTTTTTTCCGCGTCTTCCTAGCCCTCTTCGTTTTCGAGTTAGACGGGGGGGGGGTCATTTTGGCCCCCCCCCCCCCCACCAGGGCGAAGGTGGCTCAGACCCACACCAGGGCGCGGGTTAAGAGAGTGTGATAAGAGAGTGTGAAATAAGTGTGTGGAAATAAGAGTTTTTCGTCAATAACTAGGTACCGATCAAATTGAGCTAGCGAGTCGGGAAAGCCACCTATGGACTCAAGAAGACCTGCCGAATCGAATGATATGCGACATGACCTCCTTCGACCAATTTCGTGACCTGGGGACGCCGACCTGACCGTGACCCGAGGTCAACACCCTAAGTTTACCTCACCCAAACAAAAAGTATATCATTCGACGCGCCTGAGAGAGGCGAACACGATGCTGGCAAAATCGCGGCTCTGCGGCCATTTTTTGCGAAGTTATTCAAAAACGGAACCGTGCCTTAAGGCACTTGACCTGACCTCAGAGGTCACCGGTTTTTGTTTGTTTTGTTGGGTTAGGCCCTTTCAGTCCAATGAGACCATTTCAGAGTCGGAAGGATGATAGGTTATACATAGGGGGAGACATTGGTCTGGGCAGGCACCCTAGTGAGTCGCCGGGGCTGAGCCCGTCCAGAGGACAGGCCACCCAGCCCCAAGGCACCCACTGCACCCGGCTACGGGGTGCGCTCCCTCGGGAGCAGCGGTGCCGCTCCAAGGGAGCAGCCCGCATGAGATAAAGTTGCCTGTCCAGCCCGGAGGGGGTTGCGGTGTGGAGGAGAAGGATTTCAGTATCCTGAGGATAGAAGCACGGAACGGTGTCAGAGGTCACTGGTTGACCTAGGACCATAAAATCGGGTATCGATCTCTGCGTCTCGTAACGGCGCACACGCTCGTTTTACCGCGACGCGCTAGCTCCACCTGGGGCGAAACGGCGAGGGGGGTCGTACCCGCCCCCCGCCCCCTCGGCCAGCGCGTATGTAGAAAACCTATAGGACCGGGCCGTGGAGGGTTAAACTGGCCTCTGAAGGCCCAGACCGTCTAAAAGTCCCACACCGGCCTCTGATAAGTGAAAGTCAATCAGCCCAGTTGCAGTGGTCGCTGATATAAAACCTCTTAACCCTCGCCCATGTAGGGGGGGGGGGTTGGTGCAACCCCCCCCCCCCTGAGGTTTTTCGGAAATAGTGCAAAAACGGCGGCGCGCAGCGCCCCCAAATTTTGGGTACCTTATGGGGCAAACCTTGCGCATCTTTTGATAAAAAAAAATTTGACCGGGTCATGTCAGGTCACGGAGTTATGACGTCACAAAGGGAACAGCCTCCGGCCGGATTTTCACAAACTGAGTGCCAACGCCCGAGGTTTCCTGCCGGTGGTACGGACATCGGTTGATGGATCGTGATGAAACTTCCCATGCATGTTGGGGCAAGTATTGGCTATCATATGGTATAAGAAACTTGACCGGGTCAGGTCAGGTCACGGAGCTATGACGTCACAAGAGGAACAGCGTCCGGTACTATTTTTAAAAAGCGCCCGAACCACTATTTTGCTAATTCTTGTCACTTCAATGGGAATATGCAGCAATATTAGCTTCTATAGGGAGCAAATGGACCTCCCAAATCCAAAAATACAATCAGATTTCAAAAATTTAAATTTTGATTTTTCGAATTTCTGCCGCCGACTGTGACCTTGCCGACTTCCGGCGCTCCCAACGCGCCATTTTTAGAGCTAGGGAAACGAAATACATACCAAACGATAGAGAATTGATCAAGGAACACGATAGTGAAGGTTTCAAGTCGATATCTCCCACCGTTTTGCCGCAATCGCCGCGGAAAGTTGAAAAAAGTCTATTTTTCCGAAAATTTGACCTTTGACTGGTCAAAAGTAGGTCAAATGTTTACCTAGGACCAAAAAATATACCACCAATCGCGAGATCTCGGCGAGAGCAATCCGTTGGTCTTTTCCGCTAAGCTCTACGACGCTCCGTTTTCAAACGCCAAGGGGGGGTCGCACCAACCCCCCCCCCTGCATGGGCGAAGGTGGCAGATCGCCGTTTACGGGCGAGGGTTAAAACGTTATAGGCCTGGCTGAGCCTAGCTGGGCCGTTCATGCTGATTTTTATAGGTATATTGAAAAGACTCGCTTTGCACGTTTCACGCTTGCTCGTAATGAAAAAGTTGCTGGATGCCTCTGGAATTTGCATGGGTGCCAACGGCTGCGGAGGACAGGGGAACGCGTCCATCAGTTTGAGTTTATGGACGGGAGAGTGGAGACTCCCTGAAATTTCAACCAATTTTTTTCTTTTTTTTGTCTCTATTTTTTTTTTACCTCTGAGCATGTTTGCGAAAACAAAGTGGCCGAAATCCGAGTAGAAATCGGATTTTGGGGGTAGGTTAGGTTTTGGATCTCTGGGACCCTGGCCCCCCCACTTTCGAAAACGTTCCTACGCCTATGGGATGCAAGCACCACCCATTTCAAGGAATTCAGGAATAAACAGTTGCCCCCTTTGCCCGCAGCGATGGCCCAGAGCGGGATCGAGACAGGGGACCAGTGGTCATTCCTGGACCTGCGGCCCGACCACGGCGGCGAAGACCAGTACGATCCCGAGACGTCACCGGACCAGTACGATCCTGATGCGTCATCAGACCAGTTCGGACAGCTGGCGTGTCTACAGACCAGTGACGAGGAAAGGAGTGTGGAGGAGCGGCTCCATGGGAGGATGGAGGAGGATGAGGAGGGAGAGGACGAGGAGGAGGAGGAGGTAGAAGGTGAGAAGTGGATGGGGAAGGTGTTTGGATTGGAGGAGAAATTGATATATAAGTGGCACGGTACCTAGTGAATGCACGCGATAAATCTTGATTTAAGCGTGAAAATGACTACACCAGTAGCCTGCCTTCATACTTGGATGAGCTTGGCAAGGCCCTCAACAATGTCCTGGCTTCAAGAGGTAACACAATCTGACCATAATTGTTGCGGTACCCTTTACATTTCAGAAGATCCAAGACTTTTGCTCAGCCTGTTGTCTGATTGTCTTAGGCTCATCAAGCTGTTTCTGGTAAATCACAGTATTGATTCGTTTTGATTTCTGAAGCGGTAGGACTAAAATCCAGCATTCTTACTCATAAATCGTGTTCCTGCGCTAGTTCGGTAAATGTTTCTCCAATGCTAAATCCGAATAAGTTTAAAGGGACACTCCCACCTTAACATTAGTTTTGAGTTGAGATAGCCAAAGTGGTGGCCATGGCCTGCAAATACCGGTTTGGGCACTCACAACATCGACAAATGCTTTAACACGCGCAGTGGAAGGGGGGGGGGGGCGGATTTCGCCCACCCCTCCTGTTTTTCGCCAATAACTCGCGCCGCAAGCATAATATCAATGTGAAATTTCGGCTACCTGTCCAGAATTGAATTGCGGATCTTCTCATGCAAGAAGTAAGAAAATCGGTTCACAACTTTTCTAGTAATAGCGGTGTAAAGTCAAACATCCTGCCGCCGCGGCGGCGCGGCGGCGCGGCGGCCGGCGCTAGCCGTTACGCGCCGCCTGAATTGTAGACTGTGCCGGGGCGGGACGGTTCCGTCTTTACATCGCGCTCCTTACCGCTGATTATATTAGATTCGCGTCAAATTCGGTGAGAAGAATGAGAAATGTACAGGCAATCATATGGTCAAAGAATTTTGAAAATCGGCCGGTAACAACTTGAGTTATGAGTGTGTAAACACAAAATTGTGATTGCCGCGTTTCCCGCGTCGGCCGATGCCGCTTCAGCCGGCGACATCTTACCCTTAGCAGGCTTCTAACTGCCATATTTATTGTTGGATTATCTAGAAATTCACCATACATACTCAAAAATGTTTGCTCTTTCGTATAGTGAAAGATTTAAAAAAATCGGCCGGTAAGTTTTTGAGTTATCGGCGTGTAAACGCAAAAAAGTCGCTAATATGGCAGATTTGACCACATTTGACCTCATTTGACCTTGAAGATATTGACCTAGGGTCATTAAATTCACACACAACAGAGTTCCTCATGGCCCCCACCTACCCTCCAAATTTCGTCTTTCTAGTTTTCTTTTTATTTCGTCTTTTTAGTTTAGAAAGTTTTTTTACTTTCTAGTAAACTGGAGCCTCCAGTGGGAGCTGAGATCTTAGGGGGGGGGGCGACATCCGCCCCCCCCCCCTTCCACTGGGCGTAGTACTCGCAACCCTTCCACTGCGCGTGTTAATTCGGAGATATGGAATTTCAAACTTGCAGTTTTCGGATTCTAAGGGGCTAGTGCATTGGTATGCCCCCTTAGAATTTGTGACGTCAGCGGAGATCTAACGATTTTTAAATCTTTTACTAAAACGTTTGGTAGCACGCGGTGGTATATGCTGCTTTGCGCGCAACAAATGCCGCACTTTCAAATAAAGTCGCTAGGAACAGCGGAGATCCCAAAAAGTAAACAAAAGTAAAAGTCTAATATCTTGAAAACCGGTGAATATTTTTCGATGAAATTTGGTAGATATTCGTTTTCGCTCTTTCTGAACCGAGCGACATCACTTTCGTGCCAATTCATTAACTTTTTTGAAGGTGGGAGGGTCCCTTTAATGTTTATAAATAATCTCCAATCACGGTACATTCTGGATCATTTTTTTTTTTTTATCTGTTTCGGGGTTCAGATTATCGTTCTAGTTTGCATCACCTCCACCACGCTGCCGTGTGTGGTGGGCGGTGGTAGGCGGATTTACTCGCGCCGGTCCCGGCGCAATCGCACCACGCTGTTTATAGAGTATTCCGCAGCGTCAGCGAGGTTTAGTTTCACACTCGGCCGCTGTGACCGAGTGGCGTTACTATCGCCATGTGGATCCCCGTGCCTGATAGGTGCGATAAAGTGGGAATCACCTTTTGCGATCTTTCCGCTGACTTATGATTATTGAATGTTGGAGGAAGTCAATTTTGACATTTTGTCATACCAACGCTGTCTGCGTGTACCGTCCGGCGTGCATTGCGAATCGCTGTTCCCACTCCCCAATTCTAAAGAGATTATTGGTTGCGCTCTCGTTGCCAGTAAACTGAAATTGATAATTTGCCAGCCGCAAGTTGGTAAGTTCGGTCACTTGTCAATCCGCCCGGCCTGTCACCCGTTGATTTTCACTTCAATTCTTTCACGTTAATCTCACCCTTCAAGAGCGTCTTTTTCAAGAACTTTAAAAACAACTTTTCTATCTTTCTTCCCCCGTTTCTTTCAGCATAGTGATTCCATAGAGAAATTGTATGCACCATAAATTGCCCAGATCCCTATTCTTTCTTGTCGATCCTCGCCGTCAATTCGTCACCGTCCCTCTGTATTCCACCAGATGTGGACGGAGACCTGGATGGCTGGCTGAGCGCCTACTACTACACCGTGGATACCGGCGAGGACCCGGACCCGGACCCGGACCCGGACAGTCCGGATACGGATACCAACGAGTACACGGACCTGGTACGTGGGGACCATGGTCAAATGTGCTTGGGAGGAGAAAGGGGTAGTGGTTTTCTTTGACATTTTCAAATGTTCATGGAAAGGAGACGAAGGATGCCTTTGGTGCATTTATGGCTCACGAAATCTGTGTTGATCGCCACTGGCTTATTTACACTTCGTCTGGGCTATTATTGTAGTCAGCTGACGGTCATTTCCCATGAATTATCCGTGAATTGAATATGCTTCTGATATTTGTTTGCTTTGTTTTCTTTCTATTCGTGCTTATTTTTATATGCCTCTATGTATCCTCATCCTCGATTTTGCATCCTTAATACCTTACGTGTGCTCGTCTCCCTCAGAGTTCAGACTGTCATCTCCGCTCCGCTCCTGTTCCGTTCTATATTTCTGCTGACGTCATACTCTGGTCCTGATGACGTCACCTTCCTATCCTGATGACGTCGCATTTCCTGACGTCCGTGCTCTCTGCCTGCTTCTCTGGCCTTCCTGGTGAGTTCGGACGGATCCCGACCAGCCCTTTTCGAAATACCTGTCATCCCTATTTTGGGGAGCGAAGACTAGAACCCCCTAAGAATGTCCAGCTGCCTGTTGTTTTATAGACACTCGCATGGACATAACTACTCTGCGTTGCTCCGTGTGCTATTTCACGTGTCTGACCTTTCTTAGGGCCATGACTTACCCGAATGTTTTTCACTCGACCGATGTATTCTTTTTCTTCCTATAGTAGATGTTTCCTTTTTCCTTTTTTTCCTCGTCTACCTGTTGGTGTAAATATGGTGCTGCTGTAAATATGGTGATAAGCTTGGAGCAGCTCAGAAAAAATACGAAAGGATGAAATGATATCTGGAATCTGGACAGAGGGGTGAAGCAAACCAAAGATGGGCCTCTGGATAGAGAAGTAAAGAAACAAAGGAGAAAAGTGGAATTCCCTGACCAGCATCGGACTTTTGGACTCGGTCAGGGACAGGGCATCTGATTTGCCGTCTAGCCCCAATAGCAGAACCTTGAACCGCGCCGTACTGCTGACGTGTATCGGTGCATGTTTGGGTGGTCGATATGGAGTTTGCTCTTACTACCCGCGTGGTGACGTGTGTAGCGGCTTATCGTGCTGTGTTTGTGTGATACAGGACAGACGGGGTGGGCATGGGGCGAGTATCGGGGCGAACTGTGTCAAAGATTGCACGGTTTGATACGACTGAGTATAGGTCACATGAGGGTGAAATCCATCATGGTTTGTAGTTATATGCGTAATGGAAATTTAGCTGACGTATCATTCTTGCTTCTTTGTTTTTGGGTATTGCCTGGGCGTTGCACGTTCGAAGAAAGCTTGCGAAAGCATGCTGTCTGTTTGCAACACAGTACACACGACAGCTTATTAAATGGAACTGTGTCAGTGTGTGTGACATTACGTTTACTTGGCCATGACATAGATAGATAAGCGGCGATGGAATATGCACTTTGCAGTTTGCCTTTCCCTCCACAAACATCAATAATTACCATAGCAGCTGTTCAGATACTCGTTTAGCTTCATAGAACACTGGGGTCTAGCAGTTTGAAACATGTTTTGTTTGCCTGCGGCGCGGCCGGGGGCAAAAATTACACTCCCAAGGGTCACTTTCACTACACACAATGTATCCTCCGCCAGTCAGCGACTAAAGGCAATTGCTTCATTGTTCAATGTTCATTACTAACAAACGCAGCAGTATGGCGGACTTCTGTAGAGTAATGCGACCATCTCTCTATACTGACCCCCTCCTGTCTTCCCTCAGACCCCCGCCTCCGTCCTACCGCGCCTGGTGGCCAGTCTGTCTACACTGACCCCCTTCCTGTCTTCCCTCAGACCCCCGCCTCCGTCCTGCCGCGCCTGGTGGCCAGCCTGGGTTGGACGGACGTCGACCGTCGGCCGCCGTATACCTTTGAGGAGCTGGCCGCGCTGGCCATCTGTTCGTCTCCTGACCGGCGCCTGACGGCTCGGCTGGCGGCTCAGTTCGTCAGACAGGTGTATCCCTTCTATCGGCAGCACGAACAGCGATTACAGGTGAGGATGGACCGAGGGACTTGGCAGAGGCAATGGGTAGATAAGGGGTTTGGGTGCTGATATGATTTTACTTTGATCTCCTAAGACCTACCTAACTATTTATCGTACGAAAAACGTGTTTCATTGATGACGACAGACAACTAGATGCATGAAGCCTGGTAATGAGAAACTAGTATGCAAGTGCTGCTTCTACGCGGTTTTGTTTGCTGCTTTTCACTCAATGATAGCCACTAGCCATGCTCTTTCACTGTAGTTGACTGATGTGTCTGGTCAGGTGATTCGTAACATGTGATTCGTAACAACAAGGGACCAGCTGCTGGACCAGCTGTGATCCGCCGCCATTCCACGATGCATGAACCCGTAACAAATTAGGGCGCGTAAGGCCTGTGTAGCTGATTTTGTGTAAGGTACGCACACGATCTAACCCATCCCCTGCCGCTTTCAGACGTGTCTGGAGCAGGCGCTGTTCGCCAGCCCGTTCTTCCGACGTCTGTCGGGCGGCGGCCCGCTCTCCCGACCCTGGACTGTGACGGTCGAGGGAGAGCGCCGACTCGCCGACGGCGTGCGCCGGCGGCTCGGCGCTGAGGAGCTCTGGAGGCCCGCCAAACCCGCCTGGCAGGAGGACCACAACTACGCGGCAGAGAGCCCCTCCTCCGCGGCGGCGGGTGTGGGGAGGAGGAGGGTCAAACTGGCCACCAAAACGTGACAGAGGTGCGAGCGAGAGAGGTGAGGGGTGCTGGTGGGGTTTGGGAGTGAAGTGGTGGGTGGGATGGGTAGCCGGGTAGGGAGGGTCATAGGGATTGAACCCTGTGAGAGTCGCCGGCATATCAATGTGTTATGTTAGGGCGTCATTCTTCCGTGTTATTGTTCAATGAAAGGATGCGTTGATGCATCGATTAAGTGTGGGTTTGATAACGAAGCAAGAATGCATCGAATAATTTCATAAAGCGTGCTTTCCATGATTCTTAAATGCTTATGTTGATTGCATACGTGCTGGTGAGTAAGGACGAGGTCATTATCAGCTGCCTTAGCGACGATTGTGTTTGTTGTGACTCAAATTCTACATTGAAGTTCATGGTTTTTGCGATGCCTTGGCGCTCAAACGTAGCCGTCTTTCCGCAGGTGTCGCTGGCTTCTTGTTGCGTTGGGCTGACTGCCCCCGGAGACCCCTTTAACTGGTCACCAAGCGTCATCGCCTGCCGTCATCAGCCGCCACTAGCGTCATCGGCGTCATCGGCTGTGCGCCGGGGTCACTAGCGGATGACGACTGGAGACCAGTACAGGGTGACGACTCATCCAAAGCACACACAGCACATATCTGACATTGCTGGCCTCTCGGCTCGCCCTGACATGGTGTAACCAAGTGCAACCTCCAGTCTGGTCATTGAGAGCGTGAGCTGGTGACTACCGGCCGCTGAAGGCCTTCTGCGAGTCTATCTGGACCGCTCGCTGGTCAGAGGTGGTCTGCTCGCTAGTCACTGCGTTCACCCGCTAGTCATATCGCCATGGTGTTGCGAGGAGAGGCGAGTCTACTGCCGAGATTGGCCATTGGATTCGGCTGTGATGAGTGCCCCGGAGTGCTGCGGTGTCTTTAGGAGTGCCCCGAGGAGTGCCGTGGCGGAGTGTGGTGTGAGTGACCCCTTGGAGTGCAGCAAAGAGTTTCAGGAGGGCTGGGGAGCAGCGTTTTGCCACAGTGGCAGTGTCGTGGAATTGTGGTCTACCCCAGATGACGGAGTGTCAGAGTGTTACCGGGAGTGTTCATAAGTATAGTCTAGATCAGTGACCCTGAGTGCCCAGGAGTGCCTAGTGCAGGCAGCGGACGGCTGAGATGGAGCACTCGAGTGCCTACCAGAGTGGGGTCCGCTCTGACCCTGACTACCGAGAAGAACAGCTGCCTCTCAATTCTTCTTCATTCGCTTCAGTGATGGTCAGCTGCCCGACTTTGTTGCCAGCCTGGAAGAGGCGGATACACTTCGCACAGAGTCAGGCCCCGTCTGTCGACTCAACGCTCCTCTTGAGGCGTAAAACTCCTGGGTCAAAGCGTCACCTCCACTGGAAATCCAGCTTTCGTCGATGGCAGACGTCTGGATCAGAACCCGACCTCCCCTTTCGTCTGTGGCCTCCCGTGGTCTCTGAGATCGCCGTGTCTGTGTTCAAGAAGAGAGGCATCTGGGGAGATATTTCACCGCCAGCCGACCGACCTGCATCTTCATTGAACAGGTGAGGGAATTGGTGGGTATGGAGGAGGGAATTGGTGGTGGGTAGTTTAGAGGAGGACGTCCTTAAATTATGTGTACTGCTGAATATAGGATGGGGTCAGGCATGCGCTCATACACATACCTACCGTCAATGCAATGGCTGGATATATGATATCCTTGCAAGGAAGTACTATTCAAGTGTGTGCGTTTCGATGGACAGTCGCAAAAGGGAAAATCGTGCCCATCTTATTCTTATGATCTTCTTCACGCGAGGTTATACATTATTGTAAAGTTGAGTAGCCAAACCATGGTCAGTTGCATTCACTCATGGTAAATGTCCGTGGATCACTAAATACATCAATCACATTGGTACGTAATTAGTTTCACACGGGAAATATCGGAAATTTTAATTGTTATTAAATAGGGATCTCAGTTCCTATACAGCTGAGCAGGTGCCGTGATTAAATTCAGTCTGGAATAGTTCGCAACTAAGTAAGGCCAACCTCAACACTAATGGAATTGCGGTGAAGGAAGAGCTGGGTTACTGATCTGCTATGAAGGTTGTTAGAGCAAGTCTTGTTTGGCGGATGGTGTTACGCTCAAATCACACTAAGCAAACGGCACTGACAGTCTCGATCCCTATAAGATTTGTAAATTGTTTTAATTTTGCTGTCATATTTGGCGTTTAGCTGCAAACCAGCCATGACCTAACAGTGCGAGGCTGATGTCACTTTATCTCCGAACTTTTATTGAAGTGCCAAATTACAAACAATATCTCTGAACCGCTGTGTAAAATTCGGAGTTGCTGGTTGGCATCGTTTACTACATGCTGCAGTGAGCGCTGCGTAGTTCAACTCGTCTGACGGTTTAGTCAAATGTGCCCAGCTGAACCGCAGAGCCATGGTCCCACGGTGAAACGCAGGTGTTGAGATCCATTCTGCAGACATTATGCGAAACCTCAACGCCTCTTGTACTGCTTTTTTCTAGCTGCTTCGTTGTTGATGCCTGTAGGCTTTTGTCACTCCAGTGAATTTCATTTGTCCTTGCTTTTAATCACTATTATTTTGGCTTTGCGTTCATCCTGCACTGTCTTTCTGATTCAATGTACACTAATTCAATGTAATTATTGTGTGTACCTTCCTCGAGCAGCTATGTGAGATGAATTATTGTGCCTATTGAAATAATGTTTTTTGAAAGGATGTCGCAACAACCATGCTAAAGTAAACTGGAAAGAAAGTAACCGCAACCCTTGTGTATGTGCATTAGAACGAGTTTGTGCATGGGTCTGCACTAGCGTGGTGCTGCTTGGAGTCAGTTGTCCTTCCGCCAGCGATTAGCTTGGGAATTCCCATACGATTGTGAAAAGAGCAGCTCGTATTCATCCGTGTAATTTCCAAAACCACACTGGCCTGATTGCACTGTGTGAAAATTGCCGGGGTGTACTTTAATAACGGTGTGACAAACTTGTAGAAGAGGCATTTGTGTTTATCGCTACCCTTGGAATCACATAACTGCTCCTCCAGTGAAAGTGAATGGCTGCCTCTTGCAGATTTTAAACGCGTTACCCATGGAAACATGTTAAAAATGACACAAATGATGGATGTAGTGGAGTTTTGCCTCAGTACTGTATACCTCCACATGCATGCAGGTTTCATGAGTCACGATTCGTCAGTATTTCAGCATTTTACGCTGAATATTTGAGCTACCGACATCCAATGAAGCGTATAATGCAAAGCTACTCTAAAATGTGGCCGTCGGCCGAAAATATTTAATTAGTTCATAACTTCGATGCTTTCTTGCTTTTTATCTTTATATTATCTTTTATTTTATTTTTATCCTTATCTTATCTTTTTATGTTTAGCAAATATTACATTTTCTTTTTTAACGAGCTTCGTTGTTTGGTATGAAAGCGGCGCATGTTGGTCGTGCTCGATGCTGACGATTATTTTCTTATGTTTCAGTTACATCATCACTCAGCCTCGTCAACCCGACTCAAAAGCTATACGAGCATCATCAACACCATCTGTAAAACACTCGGGAATAGTGGCCAGGAGGCACAGCAGCATGCAGTAACATCGGCATGCCATCCCATTGGCTGCCTGGGGCGACACAGCGCGGTCGCAAGTGGGGATGGCAGACGGGGGTTCCTCTCTCAGGTTCGTCGGAGAGACACAGCGCGGCCACACTCACAAGTGGGGATGGCAAACGGGGGTTCCCCTCTCAGTCTTCGAAACACCGTAGTCGGAACTGGTTGGCGGGCACCGACGTCTTGCGACATCGTAAAAACAGCGAGTGGATCTTGTTCAGGTGAACATATCTCTTTCCTAATAAACTTTGGGTACTGAAAGAAACGATAGTAAATATCGACTGGCGCTTCTTGGTGAATTTTAAGGTAATTGTCGGCATATGGTCGAAGGCAGAATTTACGGGCAATCACCAAAAAGTAACCGTTAGAATGGCTGGTGACCTGGCGAATGACTGAAGACGATACGCGGCTAGTGTCATCACCCATATCAATAGCTAGCGTGTGCTTGTCTGCTGCTTGTCTGTTGCTACCCTTTTGTGTGGTTGAGAGGGGCAGGTGTTTTGGGTGCCAGTCGAAACACAGGGGCAGGGCAGGCGTCAGCCGAATATGTGGGCTATCGGATCTCACCCCACGCGATTCACCCAATGTGAGCTTCCACCACGTAGGCCCGTCTCTTTCACCCCTCTGCGGGCCGCACGGGGTCAGATCTGGGGTCAGAGGTCACTCTGGAAGATGCCCCCGGGGCGCTACACTGAGAAGTCGCTGTGTGGTGACCTTTCGCCTGTATTGGCTAGCGTGCAATCACTGTGTTTGTGTGTGATCCTACGTGTGTGTGTTGTTATGACATCATGTTACTCAGCGAGGGTGTTATGCGTGTGGGAGCAACAATTTATACGGCAACTGATAGGCCATTTTGCCGAAATGTTACGCCGTTTTGCAATACAAAGCATGTTATGATGACGACTTATGACTGAGTCACCAGAACGTTGAGGACTGAGGTTGTATGACATCTTGTGGTTACTTATTTTCCTAAGATTACTTGCACTGGAGTCTCACTTATTCTGGAAGCGCATCCACCACTGAAAAGCTCATCGATCTGTAGGAAGTAAAGATGGCACATATCGATAGCGGGGCCTTGTGCCAGTTCAGTTTTGCACGTCCTTCCGCGATTGTTCTCTAAGCTCGCCTTGTATGGAGTGATGACATTCTATCTCCCCTCTATAGTTTGACAGGTCTCTGTTGGACAGGCTTTATCCGTGTCAAGTTCTCGGCTCGGCACGCGCCAAGGTCGGGCCTTCCTGTATTTGACGCCAAAGGTCATTGAGGACATTGTCTATTCATTGACAGGGGACTGGGTACTTTTGCTACGTCAGGCTCGTAAATAGGTCGAAGGACTTGCTTGTGTTGAGGCAGCGTACCTAAAACATATTCATACTATGCCATATGAAACTTCAATCCTAGCACTCGGAACTAAAACTAGCTAAACACTCGTTGACATATCAAGGTCCGCGATTAGCACCGCAAACCGGACGTGGAACTCCAGCTCCGGATATAATCGTATTGTAATCGTATTGGCGACACCGGCAGCTAAAATCCCTGCGATGCGGGCGGCGGCGACGCTTCCATTGACGGCCTGCGGCCTTGGTCCCCGTCGACCGCTCCTGCCGGTCTGTCGTGTTGTACCGTTTCCGACTTCTGTTGGTTTGGGGCGGCGGCCTGGGTCGTGGTGTGCGATAGACGGCAGCGTTTGCTGCTGGATTCGTCTAACGCTATGGTTAAGTTATTGGGGAAAATCGGGCAGTAATGTGTCTGAATCATGCTAGATGACAGTGAGAGGGAGAGGACCTGACGCTCTAGTAGAGACGTGCCGAAGGGAGAAGCGAGTAAATAGTAATAATGACTTAAAAGAGCCTCTACTCGACAGGGGCCAGCCGATGTTGACTTGTGAATAACTACGTTCTGCACAACTGCTGAATAGAGGGTTTTTAACAATATGAGCACGGGAGAATATTGTGAAAACCGGAATGCGGATTCATCAAAGCTAATCCAGAACGGATGAAGGGCAGTCACGATACCAGCTCAGCTTTAGATAACGGAGTAGTTTCATTTGAAACTGGGGGTACTCCGTTTTCTGGCATGCACCGGTGCAAAGTGGCTTTATCCGGATCTGTAATCTGAAGAACAGTTGGGCAAATCTACCAAATCTACCTACCACTCTTCGGGGAGATTAGGAAGATCCGTAAACGTTAGAGCGCTGCCTTATGCATAATTCTGTGGTGTGGAGTGGTCTTTTGCTCGAGTGGAGAGGGTGTTTATTCTTTTGATTTTGATTTACAGTGACTTGAAGTGAATAACCGTGCATGTGATTCATCAATGTTAGTGTAGGCGTTTTCATCTCGCAAAACTAACCTATGTGGCAGAGGAGCGTCGATTGAGTGATACCGAGCTATCCGCCGACCTACGCATTTCTGACTCGGCGACTAAACCGTGCCAAAAAAGTGCACCACGTAGGCGTATCGACGGCTGAATGTATTCACCCGCAGGCCGCAACCCGACCTCAGGCCATAAACGCCACGCCTGTCGTTCGGCTACGCAATCGGCAATCACTGAGTGCATGGTTACTGTAGTTACACCCTGTTCCGCCCTGTAGCTCGGCCAAAATAACTCCCTGACCACAGCCCTATTTCCAGAGGTGTGTTGCACCAAGGTTAGGTACTAATTTCGGCTGACGGACAATCGGCGCTGTAATCGGCCGTTCGGCTCTGATGCCTACAGGTCTAGGTGACTAACAGTAACAAGCTGACTGTAGGCATCTGCGCAGCTGTAGGCGACCGTTTTATGGGAGAGCCAGAGCCCAGAACACTACCGTTTGCAATCATCGGGGTAGTGGGTGGATCACTAGAGGTGGCGAGATGTTGCTTCTTGCTACAAGGGGTTTACTGTCGGTGGCATGACATACACTTCACAGGGTCTATCGCAGGGGCTCCGCCACGGTTTCAGGATTGGGGTCTAACCCAAAAATTCACACTCTTCATACCTTAGGCTGCGCTGCATTACGGAAGTCTATGAACCCTCCCCCCTCCCTTCCGTGGGCGAAGTCCCTGGTCTATGGAGATAAGCAGGGTTTCCACAAGGATCCGACAAAATGGGAGAGGTGCCCGCAGAACCTGACCGTTCTTTTGCCCTTTCAACCGCCCTCCCCTTCAGGCATCGGATTGGTGTCCTCATCGCATCAGTGTTTTGTCAGACATCTAGGTACTGAATAATGACTATGCACTCGGGCTCGCCGAGCTTCGGCTTTCTAGGACGAGGACGGCTCAGCAGTTGCTCAGCACTCAGCAGGGCATCTCTGATCGCTCAGCACTCAGCAGGGCGCCTCCGATGGCTCAGTACTTAGCAGGGCGTCGCTGATGAATCAGCTGCCGGCAATACTCACCACTCACCAGTCAGTAGACGCTTCTGATGCTCAGCGGCCAGCAGGGAGCCTGTGATTGCTAGTCGCCTTTGATGGCTCATCATCAGGGCGCCTCCACTGCCAGTGTGGCCTTGACCGAGTGTTCCGCACCCTCCACCCTCCGTCCCTCTGTCCCTCCCCCCTCTGTCCCCGACCCATGACAACAGCCCCCCCCCCCCCCGTCGGCGACCTTCCGCTGCAGCCCGGCCCGGTCCCACAGTCGATATAAGCTCCGCACGCCGGCCGGACGGCACAGCCGCCCCGACACCAGTGGTGCCGCACCATGGCCCGCCGCGCCGCTCTGCTCTCCGCCCTGGTGATGGTGATGGTGATCGCCGCGCTCACCACTCCTGGTGGTGCACTGCCGTGTGCAATCTGCAAGGACGGCTGCCCGAAGCTCAACTGTCCTCACGGTATCGGGCTGAGGCCCAATCCGTGTGACTGCTGCCCTCCGTGTGCGCTGCCGGAGGGAAAAGCGTGCAAGAATCGGTTCGCCTGTGCCGCCGGACTGGTCTGCCTGCCATCTAGCGACAAGAAAAAGAAGCAGAAGGTCTGCCAGAGGTTGGGCAGGGTGCGCCACGGGAGGAGTTTGCCGGTGTTTTAGTGAGCTGATGCCCGTGTTTTAGTGAGCATGAGCTGGTGCCCGTCGTTCGGATCACTGTAATCGGACGGTGTGGAGGTTTTCCTGGCTGCATTTGCAGCCCTCTACGAGCTTACTGCCGTGTGTCGTGTGTTATTGTAACGTGCACCTTGTGCAACTGTTCATCACTCGCCCATGTCCTGTTCGGGTCCCACTGATCGCGGGACTACGAACGGTCGCCCGTGACTGAGTGCATTTCATTTGGTCTCAACTGGTCTCAATACATCCATACAGCACTGTGCAAAACGGACCATGAGTTCTAAGGATCAGGTGCTATTTTCGTACCTACAGAGGCGTTTTGAATCCTCAAAATTTCTTTCACGGCCGGGCTGCATGCAAAGTTCATCAAGCTTACATAATACATATCGGGGAGGAACGCAATGCAAATACGATTATACTGAGCTCCTCGTCGGTCAAAGTCTTGTTCGATTCGTTGGAGGTGAGCTATGGCTAGTTTGAGCATAATTATGAATATTATGATGGTAGAAAATGACCTTATGCTCATGATACAATGAAATGATATTAAAATAAGTCCAAAAAGTATTATGATATATTTCGACTTGCGTCGTCTTCAGAATGTACATTTTCAGGATTGTCGACGAGCAAATTCAAATCCTTTCAAAATAGCGTGCAACATTTTTGTGAGATCTCTGGCTAACAAATTACAGTCAGGTCATACCTATAATAAATTTTAACAGCGTACAATACAATGAATACAATATCACCGAATAATTATTGGATAAATATTGTCAATGCTACACAATACCTAAAAGTAACACAGGCATATGTTATTTGTGCAGCACGCCAAACTCGCGAAAATGCATAACCTATGCTGAGTGATTGACAGGATAAGATGCATTCATACACTTAATTACACATGTTTCAGGTGCGTACAACTAATACATACACACAGCAGAGTAAACATGACACCAGTGTAGAGCTCGCTGAGGTGGTGTACGAGTAGGGGGGGGGGGGGACGCTGTCAACTGCGTCTACCCTAAATCAAATTAGTACAAATGGCGATGAAAGACGCACCTAACAAGTACAAGTACTTCAGGTGAGACAAATAAAAAGAATGGATAAGCCAATAGAGACATGCTGACAAAAAAAGAGGACGGAAGGCCAAGCATAGAACATTGCCTATGTGGGAGTGTAGGGAGGGGGATGGAGAAGGGGCCAGGATGAGGTTTGTGTGTTTAGGCATGGTTTTTGGTTTCTTATTTCAACAGATTCTGCTATTTTCAGATCAGCCACATCTTTACATACTCTCTCTATGCTAATTTTAAAGGAAATAGTTCACTTTCCTGAAATTAGTATTTTGCTATGGATTTATGTTTTTTATGCTCAAAATGATCAGAAAATAAAACAAAACGTTTTTGTAAAAAGGATTATTTTCTATATTTTAGTATAAGAAGAACTATATTCTATATAAAATAATGTTTGACGCGGAAGCTTATTACGCGTTGACCAATCATATTGCGTAGGACAAACCCATCGGCTGTAGGCAGCATTCTGATTGGCTGACGATGACGTGACTGCATTCCTCAGCAAGGCACGCATTCCTCTGCAAGGCACTCTTTTCGGAACGAAAAATGGAATATCTTCGTCTAGGGTGATCGTTGGGCCGTAAAAGCTTCTGATTTGTGCTAGTCTCAGCGCAAGCAACAAAACTGCTATTCCAGTTCCAAACCCCATGTTAAAAGTGAACTATTTCCTTTAAATGAGGATGACGATATACTACATGATGGGTGGTTGAGGTTGACATGGTCTCCGAGAGGGGTGTTTTTGGTCTTGTTTTTAGCATCCCGTAGATGCTCATTAAATCTTTCGCGGACTCTCCTTTTTGATTCACCTATGTACACA